TGTTTTAGCTTTTTCTTCTTTCCCTGGTAGTTCCTCTTTTAGTCCTTCATGCCCTCTTCCTATCCCCTGCATTTCCTACTGTGTAGGGGGAGAGAGCACTAGATTATAAATCAGGAGCTATAGTTCCAACATTAACTTTGCTTTTACCTACATGTAAGATTAGGAACAATTTATTTGGCCAAGTCACATCTTATTTCCTTATCACCACAGTGCCTATGTTGTCTCCGATTACTTATTTACTTTAGAATATATTATTCTTTACATGTCATTTTTGCAAAATTTAGACACTAAAACAAATTATAATACTAAAAATATCAATAATTTAATTGATAATATGAGTATAGAATCTACATATTTAATAGAAGCCCCAGAATTCAATGCTGTTTATTCCCTAAAATAGCAAAAATCTATCTGAAAAAGTATAAAGTATTAAAGTAACTGGACAAAACTGCAATTCACAAGGATGCCAATGTACAAACAACTAAGTAAGCAATAAAACCAAGAAAAACATCCCTATACAATGGCAATAAAATTTACAAAAGAAAACCTTAGAAATCCAATTACCAAGAAAGTTGCAAGAGTTGTTATGAAACTGTGCTGGGTAATCTTACTTGTCTATTGACTGGCTTGAGAGATGCTTAGAGGATGAGTAAAGCACACTTCTGGGAGTTCTGGGCAGGTCATGGAGGCATGATTGTTTCTTCATGGCCTCTAGGGTGTCATGAAGTGAATAGCTTCGCCCCTCCACACCCTTCCACCATGAGGTTTCTGTTTTGGAGCCAGCCCACCATGGACTGAAACCTCTCAAAATGTAAACTAAAAAATAAACTTCTCCTCCTTTAATTATGTGTGTGTTAGGTATTTTGTCATAGCAACAGGAAGCCTGACCAATACAGAAGGAAATGAAGACTAGAATAAATTGAAAGACATAACCTGCTTGACCATCAAGACATCAGGCTAATATATTCAAATATCTATTCCATATTTTAAAATTAATATGGAAAATAAATAAAAAATCCAGACAATATATGAAAAAGAAAATGATAATGATAGAGTACTAGCCTTATACGTTATTCAAATTTAGTGCAAAGATGTGGTAATTAAAACATCGCGATACCGGAACATGATGGCCTATCTGTCAGTTGCAGATATACAATAAATTTCTAATAGTTCTGAATTGTTTTCTATTTCTTTATGCATACATCATTCTAAAAAACCATAGATACATCATATTATATAAACACCATGGCATGGCTTAGGGGTAAAAACAGAAAGCACCTAGTACCCTATCCTCTATACTATTCTGGTGAAAGTGAATTGCTTAATTAGGTAACCTAGTTGCCCACAAGCCTTGTTTGGACTTTGGAGTCAGTGTGGTGCATGAGGTGTAACTAAATGGCTGACTATATAACGCATCCAGGCAACCAACCCACCCCCACACCTGCATAATGGGGATTGAATTTAGGGCCTTCATGAAGAGCTACATCCCCAACCTGTTCTTTAATTACTTTTAATTTCGAGACAGCGTTTTGCTAAGTTGCCAAGACTGGGCTCAAACTTGCACTGCTCTTGCCTCAGCCTCCCACATAGCTGAGATTGCAGGCGTGGGCCCCCACATCGCATCTGCCTTCAGCTTCTTTAGGGTTGCTGCATGTGAGTTCTAAACATGTAATAAGAAATAAGTTACAGCCATTTTCCTAAATAGGGTTATAGGTCATAGGGAAGACTCAATGTTATACAAGTAATTATCATTCAAAATAGTAGGTATTAGCTTTATTAAATTAAAAGAAGTAATAGTTCTTTCTGCCTGGAAATTGGACCCATGTAAGTGCTTCAGAGGCAAAGACATTTTCATGGGTCTCAAAAGTTTTTGGCAAATTAATACAATTTTTCAGGAAGAAAAGGAAAAGAGAAATCACGAGTTAAAACAGGGGGAAATATTATTGAATATATTTAGGAATGAAAGAACAAAGGCTATGCAAGGAGCTCTTCATGATCTATCGGGAGGACAGGACATGTGAAGGAAGCAGCAGAAAGGTCTGGAAAGATGGACTGGAAAGAAATTGTGAGGAATCGTGAATATAGTGCTGAGGGATTAGTCATTTTTCTCCATATGAAAACAGGCCATCAGAAGTTTTTAAACAAGAGTGGCATATGAAACACAGATACAAGACTCATTTAGAAAGAATTTTATGAAGAATGTAACAACATCTGTAACTATCCTTGTGGGAACCACAACCTATGATAGTCATGTAGAATCTTCCTTTTTACTACTTATATACCTAAAGGTGCTTTGTGAGGGACAAAAGATTTGCTGACATTAACTGAAAGCATTCTTTAAGAAAACTACTTTTCAAGCCAGGATGCACATTGGAATTATCAAAGGAGCTTTTAAAAAGACTGATGACTGGATCTCACCCCTGAAGATGCACATTTCATTGGTCTGAGAAGGAGTCTGGGCACAGGGATTTTTCAAAGGTTGCTACATGGTTCTAGTGTACTTTGAGAACTGCCCTGAAACAGGGAATTCTTGTCCCTGCAATTCTCCACATCATTTTTCTTAACTATTAACATATCTAAAATATGGTTGCCACTTATGAGCCCCATGTGTGTTTAGTTTGAAGATCCTTCTTCTCTTTCACTCCAAAATGCTCTTACTAAATTTGTCTACTTTAATAATACATTATATGAAATATACAGCTGGGAATAACTCTTAACCAATGTAGCTTGTTTGTTGTTTGTTTTTTTACTTGTTATCCTGGTCTGATCCTCTTCTCACACTGAACTAGCCCCCATGCTGTTTTGCCTTGGGACGGTTTGCCTCATGTTTTAGGCCACTTATTCCATACTTGCTCTATATGCATTCTCTTTTTGGGGGAGGGGGGGTTACCAGAGGTTGAACTCAGGACCTTGCGCTTGTGAGGCAGGCGCGGTGCCACTGAGCTAAATCCCTGGCCCTCCATATTCATTTTTCTAATCTTTCAGACTTCAGTCAATTGGCTTCTTCATAAGGTTTTTATTTCTTCAGTTGTACTCCAAAAATATTGGCTTTAGTGGTACATAACTCAGCTCTAACCTTAAGACACTGTCTTTTTGTTTCCTTGGTTGTCATTTCCTTTGTAGCTCCACTCTGATGATAAAGAAAGGTTTAAAACCCTCTTGACAAAAGGGTTTTATGAGCTTTCCAGTTTGAAATTATTGCTGAAAACAAATCTCTCACTCCTACAGTCTCTGTCTCTGTCCTTGTTCTTCTCTCCTTCCCCTCTACTTCATTCTCCCCTTCTCTCTTAGTCTTTCCACTTCCACAAATACCCTCACCAACTAAAATCGGGAAATAACTCAGAGGTTTATTGTGAAAAAGAAATGAAAGAAAAACAGGAGGTGGACATTTAAAGTGAGAACTGATGAGAACTATTAGAATTGGTAAGAGCCCTCAGAATGTGTGACACCAGTCTGAAAACCAGTCAGAGGCAATCCTAGGATCAGTGTCTGAGTGAATTTATTATTTTTCTATGTCTGTTTTACTTATTTTTAACTAATATTCCCCAGTAATCAAAGGTTCATGGATGTGGGATCTTGATGTTCTTGTTCACTGATGCCTAGGTCAGTTTCTTGTACAAAGTGTTTATAAACATTTTTCAAACAACTAAAGCAATGTGTGGAAGTGTTAGTGAAGGAAAATAAAATATCAAATATGTGATTTTTTTAATATGATCCAACATTTTCATCCGTAGTGACAGACACTAACCAATACTCATGTTCACCAGGGAGATTTAATCGAACACTTGTTTGAAAAAAGTCTTAGATATTTTAGTTAATGATAACTTCTAGATTAGCCAATAGTATGACATGGCTGCAGAAATGACTACATTAGGTGATGTAGCTAAAATTCTTATGTAGTTCAAAGAAGATAGTGATTTCTATTCTGCTGGTTTTATTATTAATCAATGTGAAGTCAGTACTCTTAGAATGATATCAGCAAATTAGAGCATATTTCAAAGATGCAACCCAGACAGAACCCATGAAGTTCAAGCAGGGTTCAATGTTTCAAAAAGATAGAAGTGTATCCCAGGGGTCTATCGTAGGATTCAAGGCCCTGGATTTAGATCTACTTATAATTCTATGGCTGTGGGAAAGCCAGTGCTTTTTGGTACCAGTTACTTCTTTTATAAAGAAAGTGGAGAGTTTTAGGTGTTTTCTAAGTTGTCTTCCAGGTCTGGTATTCAAGCATTTTAAAATTTCATGTGTGAATATGAGATTTTTTCTTCAAATAATGAGCTATTTATATGTAAAATGATGCATATTGGGTAGAAGGAAGACAATGTTCAATGGGAAGGGGAACGAGGGAAGGGAAGGGAAGGAAGGGAAAATGGATTTTAAAAAGACAATGGAAGGAAAGAAATGGAAACAAAGCTTTTGTAAATGGGGAGAGAAAGAAGGGTTGAAGGGGGGGAAATGGGGAAAGAAGAATTAAGATATATTATGTACAAGTACAGATTCTTTATGATGAAAGTGATCCTTGTGTATGACAAACATGTACTAACTAACTAGCTAACTAGCTAACCAACTAAATAAATAAATAAAACAGCAACAAAAAAATACATAGGTTTAGTTTGTATTTTATAAGATAGGGTTAGTCCTAACAAGTGTTGCCTTAGAAGGAGATTTCAGTTCATGCTATAAGGTAATAATTTTTTAACCATTCAATTAGTAAAATAACAGAAAGGCTTATACAAAATATTGTTTCTGTTCCTGTGAAGGCTATCATGTAGGGAAAAGATTCATCAGGCTAGAGGTTGAACCCCTTCCAGCTGTAGGATATTCTGGTTCTTCTGTCAACGGTAGTCTCAAGGTATTATCTCAAGCCCAGAGCTCTGGCAAGCCTGTATGTGCCAGTATTTTGAAGTGAATGAATGATTTTCTCTTATCATGAAATAAAGGAGGGTGGGAAACATGGAGCACCAAAACTTCTTCTCTTTGATTCGCTCTATCACGTTCAGCAGGTTCAAGGTCAGCTGCCGCCATTAATGATACCCGTATTCCCTCCTGATCAACGGACGCTGGCTGCAGCTGCCCAGCAAGGATTCCTCCTTCCTCCTGGCTTCAGCTATAAGGCTGGATGTAGTAAGTACCATTAACTTTTCATTTGGAAGTGGGAGGAGGGAGTGGCTTTAATTTGGGCAGTTTCATATGACAAGCCGCACCAAGAAATGAGATCCAATGTATAGCATTTCAGCATTGTTATTTCATTTTAAAGAGAAAACACACAGACCATGTGAAAAAAAAGATTTATGTTGGTATTTATAAGCGCTTAGGTTATTTTTGTGCTCCTAAGCCAATACTTGCACTTTATAATTCACTTTCATCTCTTCTATTTCCAGTGTATTCTTAAAATATGATTGTAATTGTGGAGTTTGTTTTACTGTTGCATAAACATGATGGTAATATTTTTCTCTAGTTTTTCATTGCCCACTAACATAAACTCAAATTCCTTATGTGAATTAGTTGGCCCTGTCCTTTGTCACCTCTGTATATTCACAGCCACATTTCTCACTAGTCTTTCAGCCCTTAGCTCAAGCCATGATCTCTCTGGACTTGCATCATCAGTGTTTACTTTCTCTTGCATCCTGAACCTCTTCCAAATCACATCAGAGAGTGGTTGCCTGGCCTATCCTAGGTCCCTTTCCAGTGATTCCTTTGGATCTTGTATGTTTCTCTTTCATTTTAATTGTAAGCCTTGCGAGTCATTTGTTGACTCTATCTTGTTCATTGCTATATTTCAGCTTATACCACAACAGTCTGCAATTCTTTAAATGAATGAGTGAATATTCTCTACGAGCAATATAAAGGCCATTTTAGCACTAAGTCATGGGTTACACCAGGATATCTTGTTTATATTGCTTATCAACTTTAGAAGCCTCTGATTTTATGCCTTTTCTTCTTTTTCTATCCAAATCCAAATTGCACATTGTTAGTTTCAGAAACAAAGTCCTCATTTAAAAAATTCTAAGTAGCCAAATTTCCACTGTATTCTGTTGTAACTGATACTCCAAAGAGGGGCTAGACTTCTACGCTAAATGTCTTAAAACATCATTACTTGGGCAAGAGGGAATATAGAAGAATATTTATTTAAGTATTTTCATTGATAAAGTAGAACATTGTTGAAAAAATTAGTGAAATATTACCATCTTAGATATTTATGTAGAATATTATTTTTAAATGTCATTGAAGTCCTGTTCCACATGTATGTTAATAAATTGCCTCATTAACATTGTGCTATACTATTACATTTGAGAAACTGTCCAACATTACCAGAAATTAATTCTCTCTCATGTGGTTTCTATTTGAATTTTTATATGTGGAATTTTAATACATAGTCCTAGTCTTTAAACCTTTCATAGTGAAGAAGTGGAGTGTTTTTTTTTAAGCATACACAGTCATTTGAGATGACTAAATTATAAAACTGGTGTTCAAATAAAAGTGATCAAAACACCAGTCTATAAAAATTTGTGCTTGTATGGTACTTTGTTGTTTATAATTTTTGTACTACTTTTGCAAATCTCTCTCTTGACGTTGGTTTCCTGTGTGTTAAAATGGTATTCTCACACTGAGCCCTTAATTTATTTATTTAGTATTATATGCGGCATCATTCTAACTTTGTAGATAATCATTCATCCAGACATAGCAACATTTTTTGTTTGGTTGGTTGGATTTTTTGATACCAGGGATCGAACTCAGGTCCTTGCACTTGTGAGGCAGGCGGCGGAACCACTGAGCTAAATCCCTACCCCATAGCAACATTTTTGAATAATTAAATACTGTTCTACATTTAATCTAAGTATTTTAAATTCGAAGTATATAATTCTAAAATATATTGCTACACAAGATTCTAAGTTTTTAGTCATAAAATAGTTTTTTCATTTTGTTTCCATTTTCCTAAGGAATTACTTTTCACATTAAACACATGTTTCCAGTGTGTTTTGGGTAACCTTGGTTACTAAAATGAAAAAGAAAAGACACTTTTAAAAATCATTAGTTGCCTTAGACTGCACCTGCAATGTATACATATAGACCATTTCTCTTTTCAAAAAAAAAAAAGTTTTTTTTAAGCAACTGCAGAAATAAGTCCCATTAGCAAATATTGTGCTGAGGAGAAAACCACACTGAGTGTGAACAATAGCGTAACTGTAGGTCTGGAAGGGGTCAAGAACACTGCTACCTCATTCCCGTTTGAGAGTTGGCTTACTAAATTTGTGCAGTGTTAATGTAATATGGCATGGAGATATTTTTCCCTTTCTAAAACTGTTAGTATATTAACCATTTGATATTTATACTGTCAATGCTTAAAGTTATAAATGACACCATTTTTTGTAACCTTGCAAATAAAATAGTCCTGCTGGTAAGCTTGGAACTGGAATCATGCCGTACTCTAGAACTAAGCAGAAGCCAGCAGCAACAGAAAGTGCTGCACTATGGCACTTTGAGTCAGTTTAAATGTGGATCTGGGTAGGTGTGATAAGCAGTCCAAACAGTCCTCTTCTAATCACACTACTGAAAAGGAATAGAGGTAGGCAAAGAAATCTTGCCATCTCTTCTCTTACACAGAACTTCCAGGCTGGCCTTGAACTCGCTGTGTAGTCCAGGCTGGCCTCAAACACTTGGGGGTCCTCCTGCCTTGGCCTCCCATATGCTGAAATTAGAGGCATGTGCCACCATGCCTGGCCAGTCAACACATCTTATTTTCAGAAAAAGACAGTTTAAATCGAACATAGAGATATTTTCCCTTTATAAAATGTAATGGTAGAAAACACCACATTGTACAACATCACAATGCAGTGGCAATGTCCAAAATATAGCTGTTAGATCTTTCCTCACTGCTAGAATGTGCACAGTTAAGCAATATGAGAATAAATTGACAGCAATACAGCTAGAGACTATAGAGCTCATGACTACCTACATAGAAAGAAGGCTTTAAATAATGTAGTCCACTCTTACCCAGGACCATTTTGACCAGTTTGTAAATATTGAGATATTAATACCAGAAATTCACATTTGCTTTGGACATTTGACATTAAAAGAATAAAGCATGAAACACTGATCTTTATGGATCTATATCTAGTTACTGCTTTTCCTACTTATTTCTTAAAAAATCTTAAAATATTACAGACTTCTGAGGAAGTGAACATTATTATTAATAAATTTAATACCCTCCATGTATATGTAGAGAACTTGAAAATAATTATGTAAAAGCACTGATTTGACTAGTCAACTGCATTCTAAGACCAAGTTATTCAAGGGAAAAAATTTGGCTAAATAATATGTATTTTTAACTTGTCAGTTTCTATTAAAACTATTAACTAGGTTGCTATACAGATACACATTTTCATAACACATAATTAAAAATTACAATTATAAATTATATTTGTGGATGGCTCGCTCATTTTAGTCAGAAAACAATCTTGACTGCCCTTCAAATAAGTTTGAGGCAAGGCTTCTGAATTATAAAATAACTAGAGGTGGAAATGAATTGCTTGAAATGTACTTCAAACGGTTGAAGAGTCCAAGGACATAATCCATTTGCCTCTGCCAGAGTAGAATCCTAACCAGTTAACCAAAGATTTCTATGTGAGCTGAGGAATTAGTGTTGCATACATATTTTGGAAACAAATCTTTAGTGCCTTTGACATATTCAGAATAATTGTATATTGTAGGAAATATACCACTTTTGTGTTTGTTTATCTTAGAAAAATTCTACTTTATAAGGAGAAAAACAATTTTGAATGTGCTTATTCATGGTAGCCTAATACTTCAGGCTTCAGAGAGGCTTTTGAGATAGTATGGTTGAAGAGCTTAAACTTGGTCAGTACCACTTCGTTGCCTCCCGGTATGGCCCTCTCTACAGCACACAGCTTCCTCAGAGTCCACGCTCAGGTCAACAGCTGGTCCTTCATAACACACATTTTAGAAAAGGAAATGAGAGGCATCAGTGCTTCTCTTACTGATGACTGCAGCCGTCTGCTCCTGTCTTTTCTGTTTGGCTGTAAAATCACCACTCATATAATTGTTATAGTTACTGTAGACACTTTAGGAATTTTGACAAGGAGACATTTCATGTGGAAATAAAAAATCTTTAGGAAAGTCAAGATCCAATAAAATAGTCCATTTTCTATATGTCGTATAAAATAAACAGTTCCAAAAGAGCTAATTTGATAGTTTAGCCCAAAGTGTCAAACTGAATGTGTCACATAGCTGTAGCTATTGTCTTTCCCAATAGGTGGGCAGTGTTTGGTGCCACAGTTCCCAGACTGTGCTGGAGTTTGCAGATTGGTGGTGCTAATTCTTAGAGGCACGTGGGATATTGTAAAATGTAAAAGAAAATACTGAGGAATTTATGGTGTAATATGTACATTATCATAGTTAAGTTGTTCGAAATGACCTACATAATAAATTTGAATGCTTGGATATTTCTTTTGTCCTATGGATGCCATAAAAAAAAAATCATTGAGCCTCTGATAGTGCCTTAGTCCAAGAAAATTTGAGAACTTTCAACTTACTCTAGTGTATATTTATCTTAAAAAATTATTGTGACATTTTTAACCTGGAAGTTACTGTCATTCACCTGTTGTATTGCCAACCACAGAACAGAATATTATAGCAGAATTTATTTTGGACTTATAGGACTATGTACAATATTAGAACTGATTCATTTTGTCAGTACTAATTGATTCTTCCACCTATGTAATTTCAAGCTTCGAGTTTTGTTGATTTTTTTGTTTCCATGTAATCAACCCAAACTTTTGAAATAGGCAACTACAAATTGAGTGATACTTCAGCTGAGAGTCTTGGAATCAGGCTTTGCCTCATTCTACTATTTTGATTATTCTTACAAAAGTTATGAGCATCAGTTGCTGCATAAATGAAATGGATTAAAGAAAACTCATTTTACTGAATAAGTGAAATTATCAACAGTATCTCTTATACGGTTATTTATAAGTGATAAATACTGAGATAACAAAATATAATGCCAGAAAAACACTGATCCTGTTTTTTTAAAACAGCATTATAAAACCACACCCAGAATTTAATTGCATTTCATATCTAGGATCAGATTCAGTCTGCACACC